TTTAGAGACAAAACTGCCTGGCTTGAAAGTAGAAATGTTGATCATGTAAAATAAAGGTTTTTATAATCATGCAACATCCACCCTTATTTTACATTGATTAAATAATTCTTCCATGTTTCTACAAGATTAGGATATATGTAAATAGCAGAATGATGGACTTAAGACTGTTTTCGAAGGATTGTGCTATTATCACAATGTTGGGGAAATCAGTAGGGGAGGGGGTTTGGGTAGGAGGGAGAAAGAATTCCAGAGCCTAAGGAACTGTATCATAAAATTTAAAACAAAAATTCACAAATGTTGGCTTTACTTTACCATTTAAAACTTCACTGTTCTTTTTTACTTGCTTTATTTTTTCATTTTAAATTTTACTATTCTAAAAATACATACAACTCCTACTTTCTGTTTTTGACTATTCATCCAAATATTTAGGAACGTTATAGAGTGAAATTATTACCAACAAGGGTTTTGGAATGATGCTGAAACCAAAGCCTGATTTCTGTTACGGGAAAGGTTACTTCATTCCTCTGAGCCTCATTTCCTCCTGTAGATTCCAGGAATTGAGTGTCTCATGAGGTTGTTATATTACATGAAAAACCATACATATATAAAGTCCTTCATACAAAACATAACCTATGTAAGTGAAACGATATGGCTGCTCTCATTATTATTATCATCATTACTATTCAATTACAAAGGACACATGAAGAAAGGAATGTTTTATATGTGTATGTACACACATATATCTTTGATAATGCATAATTTATTAAGTAACTGCTGTGTACAATATGTACATGTTAAATTTTACGTGTAACTAATTTTCAAAAAAATATTTGTTTTTTATTTTGGAAGGCAGTTACATGAGAGGGAGAGACAGAGAGGAAGAGAAAGGAGAGATGGAGAGAGATCCCCCAATCTCCAGTTAACGCCTCAGATAAAGGCAACAGCCAGGGTAAGTAAACCAGGCTCAGTCAGCCTGAAGCCAGGAGCCAGAAGTTTTACATAGGTCTCACATGTGGATGGCGGGAGTAAAACAAACTGAGCTATCCTCTGCTGCTTTTCCCAGGCCATTAGCCATGGAGCAGCCATGACACGAACACGAACTGGCGCTTATATGAGATGCCAAGGTCACAGGTGGGGGCCTTACATACTAAGACATAATACCAAAATTTCCCCCCATCCCACCCCACTACTTTGAATTAGCTTTGCAGAAAATTCTTCTAATGTACATACCACATTTTTTTTTTAACTTTAACAAAAATTGATGAATAAAACTTTACTTTGGAGGCCAGTGCTGTGGCTCAGTGGGTTAAATCACTGCCCTGTAGCACTGGCATTCCATACGAGCACTGCCTGGCATCCCAGAGGCACCGCTTCTGACCTAGCTCCCTGATAATGTACCTGAGAAAGCAATGGGCTAGCCAAGTACTTGGGCCTCTGCATTCATTCAGAGACCAGGATGAAGCTTCTAGGACCTGGCTCCTAGCTTGGGAGTGGTCCAGTCCTAGCCCTGTGGCCATCTGGGGAGTAAATCAGCAGATGGAAGACCTCTCTCCACCCCACCCCCACTTGAATAATTCCAAATAAAATACAACTTCTAAAAGAAAAGTACATTTTATAGTTCTAGTATGTGGACTACAAGTAATATGAAATTGGGAATGTGTATTCAGTTATGGGCAGAGTTGCAGAGACAATGTCACACATAAATAGAGTAATCGAGGTAGTGAATAGTGTGAAAATTGAAACCTAAAAGCCAGGTTGAGAAATGACAACTCGAGCTGGTTCGATGGCCCAGAACTAAATCCTCGCCTCTCTTGTACCAGGATCCCATATGGGTACCAGTTTGTGTGCTGGATGCTCAACTTTCCATCCAGTTCCCTGCTTGTGGTCTGGGAAAGCAGTAGAGAATGGCCCAAAGCCTTGGGATCCTGCATCTGTATGGCAGACCCAGCAGAAGCTCCTGGCTCCTGACTTCAGATCGGCTCAGCTCCAGCTGCTGTAGCCACTTGAAGAGTGACCCAGCGACTGGAAGATCTTTGTCTCTCCTTCTCTCTGTAAATGCCTTTCCAAGAAAAATAAATACATCTAAAAAAAAAAAAAGAGAGAAAGAAATGGCATCTCCAGCATGCCCTTAATTCCAAAATCACAAAAAAAGAGACAACAATAACAAAAAAGAGAAGTACAGACCAGAATCCCTGGCAAACATAGATACAAAAATCCTCACCAAAAATACTAGCTAATTAAATGCAACAACATCTCAAAAAGATAATCCATCTGGTAAAAATGAGATTAATACCTGGCATCTAGGATCAACATATCAAATTAATAATTGTGATACAGTACATTACCGAACTGAGGAAAAAAATCATATAATTATCTCAAGAGATTCAAAGAAAAAAAATTGATAAAACACAGCACCATTTAACGATAACATCCTTTAAAAAAACTGGATATAGAAGAAACATATCTCAACACAATGAAGGCAATACACAACAAACCCATGGTAAGCATCATATTCAATGATAAAAGCTGGACGTATTTACATCATGTCCTAGAGCCAGTCATGGACGCACTTCTCATAATTGCTAATCAATATTAGTTCTGAAAGTTTTAGCCAGAGCTGTTAAACAAGAAAATGAAATCAAAGGGATACAAATCGCAAAGGAGAAAGTCAAATAATCCCTGTGTGCAGATGATACAACCCTTTATATAGATCACACCAAGAGATGATAGCAACTCCTAAGAGTCTGGCAAAGAAGCAGGTATAAAATGAACACACAAAGCTGATAGCCTTTGACACACAAACAGTGCCATGGCTGAGAAAGAAATTGTAAGATCAGCCCCATTCCTAACAGAAAAATCTAAGTACCTTAGGGTGAATTTAACTAAGTATGCGAAAGAATTTCACTATTAAAATTATAAAACATTAAGGAAAGAGATAGAAGACACCAAAAAGTTAGGAAAATCATTTATGTTTATGAATTGGAAGAATTAATACCATCAAAATGCCCATCACATCCAAAACAATGTAGATTCAATGTGATTCCAGTTAAGGCATCAACGATATTTTGCTCAGATCTAGCAAATTCACATGGTATTACAAGACACTAAAAATAGCTAAAGCAATAATCATCATTGCAAGTATAGCTGTAAGCATCACAATATCAGGTATCAAGACATGTTATAAAGTAAGCAGTTCTTCTTACACAATCTGTTGCTGGCGCATGGGTACACATAAGGACCACAGGGACAGAAGAGAAACTAATTCATGCATCTATAACCAACTAATCTTTGACAAATGAACAAAAATTAGTCCCCTGAGAAACAAAGGACGGTGCATCTAACAAACGGTGTTAATGTTCTGGCCATTGTGGCTATTTAGAGTAAACCAGTAGATGAAAGGCCATTTCCTCTTTCCCTTTCCCGCCCCCTCACACCCATAACTCTCTTTCAAATAAATAAATCTTTACAAAAGGGGAAAAAAAGTAGACTAAGCATATGAACAGCATCTTTCAAAGGATGAAATGCAAATGGGCAGTAGATACACGAAAAGGTGCTGAAGATCAGTGGTTATCAGTGAAAACCAAATTAATTCTAGCATGAGACTTCACATCACCCCAGAGAATGGATATCATCTGAAAAATTTAAAATTAACAAACACTGGGGTGAAAGATATGCTAATACGTGGTGGTTGGGAATGTCAACGGGTACAACCATTATGGGACAATATGAGATTCCTCACAAGTCTACAAACTCATGTACATATGACCCAGCCATTCTATTCCTAGGAATTCACTCAAAGAAAATAAAATCAGCAATATGACCCAGCTATTTGTACCCTCATGCTTATATCATCTCAATAAACAAAAGCTAGGGCACAGAGCCAATTCAGATGTCCAGTGGCTGATGACTGGATAAAGAAATTGGGTTATTACAATGGAATACTATTGTATATTATACTTCACAATAAAATGTATGCAATTTGAGACTATTATGTTTAGTGAAATCAGCCAGATCCCAAAAGACAAATATTATAGTGCTCTCTGATTTGTGCTAACAAATGTAAAGAGTACAACAAAAATGCAATGTATGAGTGAAATTAAGATTTTGAGATTTAATTATTGTTTATAATAGAACTTGTCCACACACCTGAGAAACAGTGGTTTTTAGTTACTACTTGCTGAATTCTTTGTTTAGTTGAGGATTAAGTTTGTGAATATAAGGTAAAATGAAACTGTCATTGTAAACATTAAAATAAGGAAGGAAAGTGGGTTGGGGGATAAGAGTGAGGGAGGGTAGGATGGGAAATATCATTTCTTTTTTGCTATATATAAATAAATATTTTTTTAAAAGAAGAATTAAGAAATGGCATCTAATTTGGAGATTTAAGACAATGAATTATCCATTTTTCACATATTTTAAAGGTGTTACATGAGAAAGCAAGTATACCACATGAGAGGACAAAACCAGCTACAATAGATGTCACAGGAATATAGATTAAGTTATAAGAATGCTTTGATTATGTAACTGTCAAGATTTTAACAGTGTATTATTTTCATGAAAAATGAGGAAAATGGGTTATAAATTGAAAGGATGAACAAAAATATGATTTATTACTTTGTTATTTTTCTTCCAATAGACAATAAAAACTAGTTGTATACAAGATGTATATTAGTACATTAATTTCTCAATTTTATCATTATAATTCCACCAATACACTGAAATTTTTAAAAGCTGGCATTAATTTTCATCTTAAAAAATTGAGAACACGCTGTAAGAATTTTTTCATTATAAGAGCTGTGTGTTCAGTTGTATTTTACTAATTTACTTAAATTTCAGATCAACATTTGAAGTTCAATTCAAATTTAAGATAATTGTTTAATATCCCTTAACTTTATAGGGAATTAATACTTTAAATATTTAATTTCAGAATGGAAAATCCTGTAAAATAATTATGCACAGCATAATTATCAGGAAGAGCAAAGTATATATTTTATACTAACCAATTAGAAGAACTGTTCCAACTGCCAAACCTCCACCTGGAAATGAAACAAAATCAAAAAGAAAATTAATTTACAGTTCACATTATCTTTAGCACAGAAGTTAGGCTTTTATCAAGGACAGGTACTTCAGCAACTTTAAAAATGCAGTTGTGAACAACATTTTAATTACCTTTGTAATACTTTGCTCAAGGTGCTATTATGAAATAATTACACATTACATATAATTGCACACTACACATTACAATTACTTTCATAATATACTGCACTATCTTTATTTCTCTGGTGATAGAACCAAGCAGCATTCAACCTAACTGTGGTTAAGCACTCCAGTGGTGTTATATTTAGCACATATTAACAAATTAACTCAGTAGCCAAGGTCTAAATGTGCACAATTACTACAGAAATACACCACAGAATATTCCTGTTACCAAAACAGAAATTCACCTAGTTATTTGCCTTAAAATTTCAGAATCCTTGAGGAAATGACTAATAATAAAGCTATCAATATTTTATTATTGTATATAATCTGTGATATGTAGAATAATATGTTTTTAAAATTTAATATTTTTATCACTTCAAAGAGGATATAGTCACAAACCATTTCCAATATTACTAGAGAACATATTTAGAATTAAAATAGAATTAAAACAGATGCTTATCAAATTTGAATAGACATGTTTAAAGCATAATTATTTAAATGAAAATTCAAAATTGAAGGACAATAGAAGACAAGGTTTCCAAAACTGTTTTGTTTTTGTGTATGCACAAAACTGACAGAAATAATCAGAACAACAATAAAGAATTTTCTAAGAAAACTTTGTAGTGCAGGCAACAGATTGAACAATCTAGTACGATATTTTCCTTTGGTAGTGCTTTTTCTCCCCCCTGGTAAATAAGCAAATTTGAAGTAATCTGAAAACTAGTGATTCATATACACCCAGAATAACATGCAACATGTGGCTTATACTGCCTTATGATGATACTTTCAATCAATTTTCTGGCAATATGGATAATTATTTCAAATTTTCAGGGAAGGAAATAAAGAACAGGAAAAAACTAGATTTCCATTTCCTGTGGGAGTATATTTAGTCTGGGAGTCACAATATTTTAATTCTTAATGTATAGAAGTTCTTTCATTACAGCATTTAATGTCATCCCAGACCAAATAGGCTAATTTCAACTGTTACTCAGATGAAAAAAATTTAAGTGGAAATGAATATGATGAACAATCACACAGGATCAAATTTAGACCAAAGGTTTAATTTTACAATTTTAATCACATATAAACACCAACTGTGAGGTGCATTTTGGACAATTTACCTCACACTATTCTGTACTTTTCCACTATTCCTTAACTGGAAAAATTAACACTTAATTATTTAGTATCTATCTCATATATGTATAAAGAAATGAAATCATATCAGCAAATAAGACATTGCAATGTCCAGGCTACAGCAGCTTCTGTAAAAAGTCAGCTACAGGGACACTTCTTTCATTTTATGAAATGAAGTATTGCCCAATCTTAGACTTGAAAATAAAATAATTAAGATATTTACACCGTCATAATTTTATCCTTTGACAGAGCTTTGCTCAACTACTTTAAAAGTGCACCATACCATGCATTTCAATATTGCCAGTTCATTAAAATTCTGCATTCAGACATCTATGACCCTAACATTTCTTTGTACAAAATGTCTACTTTAAGCAAAGCATTGTAGAACCAGGTAGTTTTATAAATGAATGATCCTTACAGCTCTGCTACTGATAATTCAAATACACCTTAAAATTAAACACTCTAAAACGCGATGGTACATATTCAGCTTAATTAAAACCCAGGTATGGCTTCTATCAAAACTCCTGGGTTCAATTACTGGTTCTACCATTAGTTTCCAATTGCAAACGCCTGTTAAACAGATCCACCGTGGCAGCCGTGATGAGGATGGCGTCATGCATGTGGCAGACCAAGTTCCTGGCTTGACCAGCCTGGGACATGGTGGACCTTTAGGGAGAGAAGCAGCTGATGGGCTCTTCCTCTCTCATTGCTTCTTCAATAAATAAAATGTAAGCAATTCTAATGTGCGAAAAACTTGGATACTACTGAAGACAATGAGGACACATTCAATCCTTTGTCAACCAAATTAATATTTTATTAGGACTTCTTTTACAAAAATTGACAGAAGTAAACTTTTCTCCTAATGAGCTCTATTAATAAATTCACTAGATTTGAATTTATATTGCTTATAGAAATGGCTACTTATTTTGACGGCTGTTGTGGTGAGAATGATGTAACACATTTTTATCCTATGTGTATATAATGAAATGATCTAACACATACACACATACAGTAGCAAAACCTTTCTAGTTTTACAAACTTGATTTCAATGTGAAGTGACCTTGTATTTCTGTAAAAAGCATTTCGTAAAAGGTATCCTGACATAACTTACTTGGTACACCATATGGTTCTGGCTGTATTTTAAACCCAAGTTTGACTAAGTTCACATTAATGCACTAACAAAAATGAAAATAAAAAGCTGAAACAACAAATCACAACAGACTATACTGAAAAATTTCTTGAAAGCTCTCTTTACTTTAAAATTCAGTAATTCATTAGTAATTTTATCTAAGTCCAAAAGCAGATTTCACAATAAAATTCCTAATTAAAACAGATTTTTCCCCAGTAGTACCTTAATGCATTTTGAAGATAACTAAGGGGTGAGGAAATAATCATCTCTTTTTTCATGATTAAGGTAAAAAGAAGCAAAATGGTCATGTTCACCATTTCCTCTTCCTTTCATCCTCACATTGAAAAAATCACCAATGCATTTGACAAGTCACTACATAAGCTCTTGGCCTGACTTCCGGAACTCTTTGAAGACTTTGGAAGTTTGATATTTTAAACCATTCAATATATCACAGGATATTTTAAGAGATTCCACAGCTCTTCCGAATTTAAAATGGTACTTTAATAGCAGAGACAGAGAAGATGGAAAGGCCGAGCAGCCATCTTCCACTCACTGCTTTCCTCCTGGTAACTGTCTAATGGCAGACAGGAGCTGGGAGCCAGGGGCTCAGCGGGGTCTCGGCAGGGAGCAGGCACCTGCTGCCTCCCAGGGTGTGGAATCAGAGGCAGAGCCAAGGCTAGGACCCAGACACTTGATCCGTGATGTAGGCAATCCCAGGCGGTGTCTTCCTCCCAGCAACAAATGCCTGCCCCACAATTCTTTTAGACAGTTAACACTTCATCTTAAAACCAGGAAAAAAACCGATAACAATATCAGGAAAGGAAAATATTATATATGCCAATATCTTCCTGTCTTAGGATTTTTAAAATCTGAAGGGATGAACTTCTGTTATTTTAATTCACGTGGGAATAGAAAATTCAATCATCACACATTTTCTCCCAAAAAAGTGAGTAATTACACCATAAATTTTGGGTAAATGAAGTCAATTAATATACTAGAATAAGAAAGTCCATAGGCACTACCTTTAAGAGAACCTCTCTTTCCAAGTTAGAAAAAGTAAAATAATGAAAAATAGAAAAAAAGGAAAGATAATAGTGTTTCATACTAGTCCTTTCCAGAACTCCAAATAAAGGAAAACTCATGTTTAAGATTGAAGGTATTTGGGGGCCAGCGCCTTAGTGCAGGAGGCTAAGCCTCCATCTTTGGCTTTGGCACTGGTTCAACTCCTGGCGGCTTCTCTTCCTATCCAGCTCCCTGCTTATGACCTGGAAAGCACTGGAGGATGGCTCAAATCCTTGGGCTCTTGCACCAAGGTAAAAGGGAAAAGCTCCTGGCTGCTGGCTTCAGATTGGTTTCAGTTGCAGGCATGTGGTGAGTGAGCCGAAGGATGGAAAGTCTCTCCTTTTCTTAATAATTCTGCCTTTCAAATAAAAATAAAAATAAAGAATTCTTTTTAAAATTTTTAAGAGATTTGGGGAAATGCAATATACAAAAAACAAGTCCATTGCCTTTTCATTGTTCACACCAATATCATCTTAAAACAAACTGCAGTTATTTTGCCAATAAGCCTGCTTTTTGCTCTCAAGAGTTATGAAACATGGTAACTCATGATCATGGCTAGGTAAACATGAAAATCAAAACATAAACAGTGATAACAGTCTGTATATTAAATCTCAAGTAGCAGTTTTAAATAGTATTACAAAGGAAATAAATTAAATTTTCCCTAGGTGTACATCTACCTGTATCACTCTACCAGGATGAGTGTTTGAGTGCAGAGGCGAAGTCACTGCTAGGAAGCCTTTGCTCTCCTTTCAGAAAGCCTGGGCTGACACACCGCAGCTTTTCTGACACTGCTTCTTGCTAATGCACCCCAGGGAGGCAGAGCATGATGGCTCACGAATAAAGATAGAACCAGGATTATGTTATAGGATTATATTATAGCGAGATATAGTATCTCACACCATTAAAATATAGTAAAACAAAGGAAAAGGAGCCCACCATGCCTGTGTTTATTTTTTTGGTCTAAATGCTAAAAACAGCTATTACCCTGGAACTTCTTTCTAAGACTCCCTAGAAGATTATTTACTCCAAGTGCTAACTCCCTTTACAAAGAAAAAATAAAGAAATTCTTAGAATGCTTTACTTACTATAATCTTCCTTTGGAAGTTCTTGTAAGATGACAAATGAAATCTCTATCAAGTTCCTATTCCCTTCTAAAATACAAGTGTGTTGTTTATACATAGCCTCCTCAAATAATATAAATGCTGTGAAGGGTTGAGAACCTGGGTTAAGAAATCTAAGAGGTTGGAAACTTTAAATGCATACAACTTGGGAAATGTGAAACCTAATAATAAAGCTTTCAGCACAAAAATATTTAATATGATTATGTCATGTTTAAAAGAAAGGAAGTCCTGGGGAACTTAATTAATGACACGCAATACTTGAATGATGTCTTTATAAAATATTTTGCATTAGGTTTAAAATTCCAACTATGTCACAGAGGCAGTATACAAATGTACTGTACTACATGGTGTATATAACACAAGATTTACTGTTAACTTTTTATAGTTAGACATAATCACAATACTATAGACTCATTATTTTGGAATCATAACCGCCTCTCATCATGATTCTTTGTCACAAGAATGGTCACATTAGGCTGGTTACAATCTGAGTCAATAACTGCTCAGAGAAACAACACAGTCTGAGTTGCTTACACTTAAGTGCATTAGCAGCCAAATATTCCACTTTCAAAGAATGTTTAATGAGAAACAAAGGCAAAGTGTTTGCTCCATAGTACCCTACAAGACAGAAAATCAGATACAAAGATGTTAATAAGAAGTCAACCTCGAAAATACTTGTGGACATACAGGTTTTCCAAATGCAGCAACTAACTCTACATATATAAGATACATCAGCAACTCTTAGCTTGTTTGGTACAAATACTAGAGCACTCTACCTGAAGCAAAACCACCTAAAACGAATTTCTATTCTAAGTTTCTGTCTCTGTAGAAGGTGCTTTTAAGGACAAATTGTTAGATCATTAATCCTAAATTCAATAAATCATCCAAAGCCTTTGAAAACAGTTCTCAAGATTTTGAGACAGCTGCAACTTAGTTCAAAGAACACTAACATTTGGTCTTAAAGACCAGCCCACAGGACCACTAGCTTTGTGACTAGTGACAAGGGATATGACACGCATTGCCCAATTCTGCTTTTGGAGTTCAGATACATAACACTGTCCTATATGTTTACCACATTATCTTTATTTTTCAATGAAGAACTCAGTTTAGAACTTACTAATGCCAGACACTGTGGTAGGCACATTTTCTTGGCCTAATGCCAGAAATGCCATCTTTTTGTCTGGATACTATCAGTGTTAGGTAAATGAAGCTACACATCCCTGTTAAATTACAAAACAGAGATTTGCAAGTACAAGAAATGGGAATAGCTGTTTAGCCGTAAGTTCAAATATACAGTGACATCAAGTGAGTCCCACAACATAGAAAAAGTGAAAAAAAATTGCTACCTAAATATGTAGCAAATCAACTAATTCTACCTATAGATTGTTTATAGATATGTACCTACAAACAATTGTTTATAGTACATTGTAACTCAGGATATAGATTTGAAAAAAAAATTCATTGAAAACACTTTAAATTTTTGTTGAAATGACAGGGACACAGTTAGAATGTGAAATGACAGAATCAAAATGCCATGTTTTTTTCTCCTAGGTTGCTGTTTTGTCATTTGTTCCTCTATACTAAACCTGTTTGAAAAACCTGTCATAGTGGGAAAATTAGAGGAAAAAAGAAAAGGCCCGTGAAGGAGGAGGACAAGCAATGGCATTTGTAATATTTTCCGAAACTGATTGACAGCCTTATTAATGCAGAAAAATTTCCCGATCAATTCGATTTGGTCAATCCTTTCAAAACTAACATTTATGAAGCAAGCACATACTTCAGTAGGATTCTCATGGAAAATTTCAAAGACCATAAAAGAAATCTTAAGGACAGATTCTTTTTCTTCCTTACAATGCAAGTTAAAATTGCACATTTCACTTACAGCATGAAGGTGCAGTCTATCCTGGCAGCAAAACGTACACAGAAGGAAACTCAACAAGAATATATATTTACATGTTTAATGCAGATAGAGTATCTAAACGCCTGGGACAGCCTTTTAACTTTCTACAACCATTTAATATTTAGAACCAGAGCAATAGCCTGGCGGTGAAAAAGGAGAAAATGCTTTTTTTTAAAAAAGCATTTTTAAATAATGCGCATCACAAATATCATAAAAGAAAAAAAAAACCAAAAAACTTTTGTAGGTTAAGGCAAACCATGCACTACCTGGATGGGGGTGTGACAATGTACTCAGAAATCAGGAGGCATTCCACAGGAAAGGCAACTCTACACTACAAGCACTTCAGGGTAAAAGCACGTAGGTAACCCGTTGTGATCGGGAAAGGGGTCTGCGGGCAGCGAAGCAGTGACGGCGGAGGTACGAAACCGGGTTTGGTTACAGCGTTCAGACGTCCCCATGCAACCCTTCCTCCCTCCAGTCATCCTTAGCCCAGACTACAGTCTCCACGTCCGAAGGTCGAGGGAGGTCACAGAGGCGTGTGGGGTCAGAGCAGCTCCCCGACAGGTCCCCTCCCTCACTGCGCCCAGGGTTGAACCCATCTCAGTTCCGAACCGACCTAAGAGCTGGTCCAGGGCAGGCAGCCCGGTTGACACCAGCAGCTGTCCATTCCGCACCGAAGGTCGCGTGCCCGCAATGGACACCAGCCGAGGGCCGCCGCTGTCAGAAGCTCCCGCTCGAGGCCCCCTCCTCTGGAAGCTGGTGACGTTGCTCCTACTGGATGCCGCCGTAGACCCGGTACCCTGGGCGCCAGGGCTGCAAGTTGCCGCTGCCGCCATCTTGCAGACTCCTGTATTGACCCAATAGGAACTCTGGGAACTGAGGCAGCCGGCCTGTCACAGCCAGTTCCAAACTCCCGCCTTCTGGCCCCTAACTTGGCTCTCGTAGCCAATAGAACGCACGCGTTGCTCCCGAGTTAACCAATCGCAAGGCGTATTGCTGAAAAGTGCGCTCTGCGTAGGGACTGCGGACCTCTGCCGGGCCCAGGTGAGAAAAGCCCAGCCGAGTTGTTACGGAGTTCTTACGGAGGGCGTTTTCTGGGATTCGTTGGGGGCCAGAGGTGGGTGATTTTCAGCTGAGTTCGTGAAGTGAAAAACCTTTAGGTCTTGTAAAGCGCCTGGTTCTTGCCCCTCTTCCCGATCTCTAGTAGAGGGAGACTTTCCTTGCCAAATCTTTCTCTTCGGATTTCTGAGAGAAAATTCCTCCTCTCCAGGACTTTTCCCATGTGGTTGCGTTATGTACTCAAAACTGGGATGGTTACCTTGATGCGCTGCCTGCTGAACGTGTGGGCTTTATTTAGTCCCTAGTTGTAGGTGAGCTGTATGCAGGCATTAGTGGGAAAACCCTGCAACTTGAGGCAATTGTTTTTTTCTTTTCTTTTTCTGTTTCAGGTGAGATGTAGCTGACAAATCCCCATCAGAAGCTTTCTTTAATTTTACTTAGTGCTTCTAGAAGTCTTGGAGTGCATTTTTTATGAGCTGTATGAATCACAAGTGTTGTTCTGAAACCTTCTTCACACATTTAATTGTTTGCTGGTAAACCACTGCAAATCACATAATTTAGATTTCTTCAGTCTTCCCCCAGAAAATTGATAAGAATTAGATCTTTTCCTACTTTATTTCTCTTATGATTTGTGATTTCAAAATAGGAAGACAAATTTCCCGTACAGAAAGTTAAAAGCCATGCTTTTGAAGTTAAAGTTTTCTGACTGAAGATAAGCTGACTGAAAAATGTTTTAAAAAGTCTCTCAAATCAAACTTCTATGTTACTATCTCGGTGATCCGTGATAGTTTTTAATATCAGTACACCTCAGTAAAAAATCTTAATAGTGAATTGTTTTAAATCTCGGACTTGTTGAAAGTTTTTGACTGATTCTATTGGATAAGTTGTAATTAGTGTCACCACCGTAGTGACTGGAGGAGGGGTTTTTCGAAACAATCATGTTCGGAAAAAGAGAACCCCACCTTGCCATTTAACAATATTATGCTTTCATGTAAAATGTTTTGCCAGTACAAAACTTGATTTCAGTCGCTTGATTAAATTGCTTCATTGATTACTGCTTACTTAGATATAATCTTATTTCAGATCCATAGTAATGAAAGTGGTGGTATCTGGGGGAGATAAGATGAATGTATTGAAAATGAACATATTGAATACTGTGAACCAAAATTCTCCTGTAGTGAATAAGCACTAAATTACCACTAGGGAAAACCAAACAAAAAGAAGGAAAACAGTATGCTCTCCCATAGAAACTTCTTGAATATTTTTGATGTGCAAACTTTGAAACATTGCAACTAATTTTATGAGTTTCTTTACTACATACTTTCCTATTTCTGGCTGTATTTACTTAGCCTTTTAGTTCTCTTAAGTGATGGTAACCATGATTTACTTATTTATTACCAGAATTAATTATTTTCTAGTTTTGCCTATAATTTGAGCACTGTGACATACAAAACCAAACACTCATGAAATGTGGATTTACCACTGGTTTAGCATTATATTACATTAATTTTTTTAAAAAAAACAAAGATAAAGCCATTGCTTCCAGGTCATTCCAGGTGTTTGTATTTGCTGGCATATGGTGGAGTTGAATAAAGAGCATTGGAATATGTAAAATGCTGTGGAAGGCAAGATTTAAAAGGCTGTGTTTAGGTGTGCTCTGACTTAACTACTTATTGAGTGCCTGCTAGATTCTGGAAAGTGTGCTGAGAGCTCAGGTTATAGGAGGGAAAAAATACCTCCACTCTCCCCTGTTAAGAGTTTATGATTATTGGTGGAGATGGATGGATAATTGGTTTAATAACATAAACTGAAATAATATGGAGAGAGAAGGCCTTAGACAGTTGTTCCTGAGCAGAAAACAGTCTGATTTTTTTTCAAAGATAAGCAAAAGATGAAAACATTAAGGAAAATAGCAGCCATTATGAAAAATGGAATGATAGCTCCTTCAGCAAATCTGCTTTCATACTTCTGTACAAGCACTTGCAAAGAATTTTGTAGAATGGCAAGAGGAGACTAGAGAAGTTAGGCCAAAGTCTGAATTTTTTAGGGTTAGGATTTTACTTTTCCTAAAGATAATGGGAGTCATTTAAAAATGTTAAAGAATAATATAGTGAACAAATTTGTTATGTATTGAATGACTAAACATGTGCTAAGAATGAAGTGGCTACAGGTTTGATTGGATATGTGTAGAGATTGCCATAGGTAATAGTGGTAAAAGTTGAAGAAAGTAATCAAAGGTGATTAGAAACCTGTGGATTACTAAAAAAGGATAGAAATAAAGAGTTTGTGGTTGTGATGTTTTCGTGTAAGGAGATCATAAGTTAAGATTTTCATCTGTTTTAAACATGTTTGGTGTGAGGTTACCATGGAATACCCTAGAAGAGGTGTCTAATGGTCTGTATGAAAGAGATCTTTTGTTAAAAGATAGATTGAAATTGATGAACACATAGTGGCAGTTTATTCCAGCAAAATAGTTAAATTTATCAAAGAAAAGAGAGAACGAAAGGAAGAAAAAAAAAAGGTAATGATATACTTTAGAATTAAAAGAGAAAAAAACATAAATAAACTTTGGAGAATATCAACTGGATAATAAAAATGATTTACTTGTACATAGTTGTAGTCCTTGTAGTCCATACCCACGTGTGTATATACCTTGCTTGTCTTCTGGATGTCTTTAATGGGATTTCAAACTCATGGTACCCCATGACCAAACTTCTTGTATCTCAGTAAATGATAGAACTAACTGTAGAAATAGTGGCTTAATCCATGTAACTTCATTAAACTCAATTGGTCTCTCATACTTCATTCTGCACTATAAAATCCATTTTTAAAAGCCAAGGGATTAACGTATTAATAGATTTCTTGTCCTTTCTTGAGTGTTTGACCCTTATGTTTAGTTCTCTTGTAGTCCATTCCTTATGTACACAAGCCATCTTAAGATGCTGCAGTATAAACCTAATCATGCAAAACAGCACCATTTAAGAACTTGCACAGAGCATTCCCTTCACATCTAGGTTATGTTATGAACATATACTAGACATAGTTGTCAACTAGCCATCTGTGAGACTCACGAGAATTTTTTCCAGTCGGGTTTTCAATGTCTTCTCTCGCCCTAGAGTCTGTTACTGTTGTGTCTGCAAATAAAGTATATAGCAGAGATACAGGGGAGACTTGCTGCTAATCCTGCTGGTGTTTACCCTTATGATTGAAGGAATCAACGCTGCGATCATGTCTTCGCAGAGAGAGTTCCTTACCCTTTTGCAGTCTTCCTGGGAACTATAGTCTTGACTTCAAGGCCACAGACCTGTCTGTTTTTCTGCCTTATATAGATTAAGTCATACAGGATTTGAGTTTGTTCAATATTGTATTTGAGAAATGATCATTGTGAATGCATATAGTTGTGGATGATTTATTACTACATAGTATCTGATGTTTAAATTATGCACTGTAATTATTTGTCCTGTTCAAAGATGTTTATATGTTTCCCCTTGGTGCTCATTTTCTAACATAATTTAGCAATTTAGGCTCTTTTGAAATTTCCTAAAAGTATTGTTATTTTCTGTGATACAGTTTTGTAGGTATAGGTATTTCCTCTTTTCCCTCTCCTTTCTCCCTACTTGTTTCTACTCCCACCATTTTCCGCAATATCATTACAGTAGTATAGTCCTTTGGTAATGGTTATAAGTTTACCATTCTGGCATTTAAATGCATCATGGCGTTGTAGGTAGACAAAGATAGAAAATCTGGTATTGTATTTTCAATGTGTATTTAATAGTTTCATTGGAAGTCCTTTTATATGGGTAGTAGAGATGCCTACTGCAACATACCTCCATTTTCTGATATTCTGGTCTCCATTCTACAGTTCAACTGTGAGAATATATGTACATACTTGTTCACATATTTGTATATATTTGTTTTGTATTATGCATGAAGATTGCCTTATATCAGGTAGAACATATGATGCCCGTTTTTTAGGGATTCGCTTATTGCACTGAACATAATGGTCTCCATTTGGGACCATTTTGTTGCAAATGGTAGGATTTCGTTCTTTTTAATGGCTGAGTGGTATTCTATGGAGTATACCGCAGTTTCTTTATCCATTCTTCTTTCAGTGAGCAACTGGGTTGTTTTCTATGTCTCCACTATTGTGCATTGTGACACAATAAATATAGAATTGCTTCTCACTTTTTTCCAAGCAAATTTCAGTTCCTTTGGATATATTCCCAGGAGTGGTATAGCTGGGTCTTAGCACTCTCAATACTGAGTTCCATAGTGAATGAACTAACAGTTCCTTCAGCAGGAGCTGCTTACAGTCAGCAATTTATGTTGTTATCAGGAATGTTGAGAATATCAAATGCTTGTCGTCCTTGACACCTAGTGTTCTGTTTGCTCTCATTTTACACATTTTGAGAGTGTGTGTGATGTGGTCTTGTCCTTGGATTTGAACTGCTGAAGTTAAGCACTTGTTCATGTGTTTATTGACTATTTGAGTAACACTCTGTGTGGATTTACTCATAATTTTGCTAATTTTTAAAACCTAAGTTGTCTTTCACCTATGGATTTGTGGAATTCTTTTAGAAGTTTAAAAATCCATTTTCTCATTTTTATTTTAAATTTATTTTTATTGGAAAGTCAGATATACAGAGAGGAAGATCTTCTGTCTGCTGGTTTACTCCCCAAGTGGCCACAATGGCTGGTTCTGTGCCAATCTGAAGCCAGGAGCCAGGAGCCTCCTCCAGGCCTCCAACGTGAATACAGGGTCCCAAGGCTTTGGGCTGTCCTC